ATGTGAAGTCTTTGATGGCCAGCAACCCTTACAACTTGGGGTTCATTGATGCTTACTGGTACTGGAGGATTCGTGCTGAAAGCACCATCATGGATCCAGAAAATCTGCCGAAGAAGTCTTACAAGCAGCTTTGCCGTGACATGGGCCTGACAATTGTGAACGAGGCTGCAGAAAACATCCTCGGTGTCATTGAGCTTTACGAGTACCTGAAGTCTTCACCATTCATTGGGCCCTTTGGAACCATCGAAAACCCTGTGCTGGTCCCCGCCATCCACACTGAGCGTGTTGTTGGATGCACTGGCGGCACCGGTGACAATGAGCATGTCCCTCTTTGGTTCCGCTGCCGTGAGGGTTTCTTGTACCGTTGTGGTGAGTGTGACCAGATCTTCATGTTGGTGAGAGTCCTGTACGAGCTTCCAGAAGAGGGTGCCGAGATCAATCCTATTGACCCGGATGTGAAGGATGTCTTTGATTTTGCTTTGCTAGAGAAGGGCAATGAGGTCTGGAACACAGGTGGCTTCATCAATTGGCCAACTGGCTATGATGCCCTGCATGGCACCGAATTAGGCGGTAAGGCCCGAGACGAAGATCAGCGTGCCATCGGAGAGTGAGGATACTGAGAGAGCTTATTGATGTTGACTGAAACTGTCGTACATATTTTAAATCCAGCAAGCATTGCACGCATTCAGGTTATTTCACATTTTCTTCTTCTGCAATTGTCATTGTTTTCATTTCATTGTTGCTTCAATTGATTGATGACTTAGCTTGGATGAACAACGCTTCCAGAGTGAGAGAACACTGCTTGATGTCTGAGAAACGGAGCAGCTGCGAAGCCGGTAAGCCAGCATCAGAGCGTTGGCATAGAGCGGCATAGAGTGGCATAGTTGCTGAGATCTCTGTCATGTTTTCGGAATCGGATGCTGATGGTTTCAGGCTCATTGCTACTTAGTCAGGTCTTCCCGGTAGACCCCGCCGTGTCTGCCGCTGTTTTCCTTGTGCAAAGCCCTCAGGTTGCTAAACTGCAGAAACAGCACTGGAATTCTCTGGAATGCCTCGGCTCGTCCAAAATCAATGCTTTTAAAAGAAACAACAGGCACGATGGCCCATCGGGACTCACGATCTCCGAAAAACAGGGAGATAAACGAGGAGATGGGTAATTCTTACACTTGGGGGACCTGTACACCTCGAAGATCTTCCATAGTTGTCGTTTTTCTTCTCCACTTATGATCACTTGTGGATGATTATATATATATATATTTCATATTTTTCCATGAGTGCATGGATATTCCCCCATATTTTGATTCCCATTTTGGATTGCGAGAGGGTATGAAAACTTCGCCGAGGTATCAATGGCTGGCATGTCAAGGCACTCGAGATGGGGTTGGGATCATAACCATTTGAAACCATCATTTACTATATTCCATTATGATCCATTATGTAATGTCAGTAATATCCATGAATCCTCATGGAGACATCCTGTGCTGTGCCAGGTGCTTGGCCGTGCTGCTGCTCCTTTCCCTCAGCGATGCCCAGCTGATGCGTCGCGACTCCTCTCGTGCGGCGAGCCGCCGATCGCGGCTGCAGGGAGCGCTGAGGGAAGCGCTGGCGAAGGTCTCGGCTGAGCAGGTCCTGTTTGTGGAGGACGGTGATGCGGCAGAGGGTTGACCGTTGACCCCATGGAATGAAGGGCCTTTTGGGGATGGGATGATGAAGGATGGGACCGATGGGAATGGGGGAGGACAAAGCCACTTGGTGGCACGTGTTTGTAGCCGTTTTGGGTTTTTCAGACATTGAATTTCATTGATGAAGTCAAACTAAAAGTGATTGGTGGTTTGAAGGAACAGAAACATGAATGTTTAAGCCAAAGAACAATGGGTCATTTGTGACCACCTTCACCAAGGCTTCTGGACAGTGTATCTATTACTGTCGGATTTTTCCATTAAAACTCCGAGTTTTTCAGGATTTTTCCATGAAACATCAACAATCACCATGGATTTCCCTCTGGTTTGATTGCCAGGGGGTAAACCGGGTAAACTCCCACTTTTCCAGTTCAACCACCATTTATCTTTGGTTAACTAAACAATGGTTGCTTCAAGCACCATTTTTGTCGGGAAAAGGCACCATTTTTGTTGCTTTAAACCACTGGGAAGGGATGAAGAATTGCTTGCGAGGAAAGCCTACGTGACAGTTACGAGGCCTTTCCCAAAGATGCGAAGGGCAACCTGCCACCGCATTCGGCCCTGCCAGCCTTGGCGCGGGCATACTTTGCCAAGGCGCTGCCAAGATGAGATTTGGATTAATGGGACTTAATGGGACTTACTGGAAACTAATGACTAGAAATTAAATGGACTTAATGGAACTTCATGTGATACATAGCTACCATAAAAGGACAACCGAGTTTCCAAATTAAGTCTCAACGGGACACAAAGAGTTTCTAAATAAACCGGACTTAATGGGACTCAATGAATACATATCATATAATGGGAAAGCATCTAGATCAAACATTCTCAAACCTTCCCCAAAATCCGGTTGAAGGAACTGGCAGTCTGTTGACCTCAACGCTCCAGGAGCATGGCTGGTTGATCCGTGGCTTAGAGAGCCCAGGCGCTCCCATCATCGCGCCGGGGGAGAGCTATCGCGAAGCAACGCAAGGCCATGGAGCTGGAGATCTCTATGAGGTTCATGCTCTGCAGGCTGGGGAAGGATGGAGATTTGGTGAAGGTGGTGAAATATATTCAAGATATTTCAGGATCATTGTTGATGCTGACAATTCTTGCTATGATTATCCGGATCATTTTTGAGTGATGATGATTAGTAGCGATGATTAGTGATGATTAATCATGATTAGTGGTTACTATGTTGATTTGATATGTTTTTTTCCTGTCCGATCATAGACGTGCTTAATTATTATTAGCTATGCTAATCAGATACTAGGATTTATGAGCTCCTATAATTTTATTGTGATTGCTGGTATTAACAATACTATGATATTCCCTATTATTAGAGTAACAGACTATTATGATTATCATTGTAACATATTGTAACATATTATCAGACATTATCATTGTCAATTTCCCGCCAGGACAAGGCTCCGGAGCTGGCTGCCGCCTTGAAGGAAGCGGCCCTGAGTCCCGTGGCCAGCTCTCGAGGAATGTCCTTGGCGGATATCTCCCAGACGGTGGCAGCGCTGGAACAGAGCCTGGGATAAGAGGTTGGAAAAGGATGGCAACTTTAGTTTTTGTTCTTTTGGGGATTGCGGATGATTGCGGACATTTGCGGAGCACTTTTTTCTTGAAACGCTTTCGGAAAAGGAACATTCACACTTGGCGACCTTTATTCCTCTAATTTACCCGTTTACCATACGGTACCGATTTCAAGCCACGAAATTGGCTTTTCTTAGCCTTACAAAAGATTTTTTAGCCAGGTAAATAGTTTCAGCCTCGTTACAGGTCTGCTTAGCCTCGAACTTATGTTTATTTTTCAAACACGAAAAAAACAAAGTCGAATTAAAATCGCCAAAATATCTAATGAATCAAGTCTCTGTGCCGCAAAATCAAATGAACATTTCTTGTCGCTAAAAGATTTAATGAAAAAGAAAAGGCTGCCTGGTACAACCTAGTGAAAGGAAAGGTTGTTCCGGTAGAATGTATGACCAAGGAAAGGCTGCCCGGTAAAATCTAATGAAGGGGACACTCTCATCAACAAAATCGAATGGAACAGGGAAGGTGCCCGGTAAGACCCAACGAGAAAGGTTTCCAGTCCGGTAAAACATGACAAAGGCAAGGCCCGGCAAATCTGATGAAACTGGAAAGGTTGTCCAGAAAGGCCTAATGAGCCCATGCCAACTTGTACGAAATACCCATCGCCAGGCCTGGGCTCATCGGTTGCCTTGGAGGACCGGCATGGGCCTTGCAGAGGGGCATGTGGCAGGTAAAATGGTGGTCTCAGGCAACTACGCTTGTTTTTCGTGGGCTTGGGATAAACATAGTGATTTGGGAATTCTTTTGTAGATAAAAACCGCTGAGCCCCCGGGATATTGAAGTGCTTGGTTGTGAAGAAGCTAACTGATGGCGTGATGTATTTTCTTTCTGTTTTCCCACCATGGGGAAGAGCTGTTTCAGACAGAATTGAAATGTCCAAATGAAACAGAAAGCCAAATTTTGTTTGTGGTATGCTTGTCACCAACACTTGATTTGCCCTCCAGCAACAGCAGCGGCCACATTTCTAATCCAATTCCCCTGCGGCAGGAAAGTTACCGCACATGAATGTGCGTAGTTCAAACCACATGAGCCACATCCTTGAACTTAGCTTCATCAGAGAACGTTAATCGTCAGTGTTTGACCAACAGACATTTGAAAAGTTGTTTATCGGCGTGGATTAAAAATAAACAGTTTCTTTGAGCCACCCTTGCTCTGAGGATCCTGCTCGAGCGTCGCCGTTGGGCCCCAAAGAGCAGCAGAACGGGACAATTTTTTGGTTCTGTTGGGGGATTTTCCGGACTACAAACCATTGCATTTGATAGGGGGGGAACCTTGACTGGCCACCATGCCCACAGACGGCGATTTCAAAAAACAAACACCACCATCGGGATCAACGAGTGATTGAGTCTTGGCCATGTGAATTTCCCAAGGACCCGATAAATGAATTTCTGGTATTGTATTCATTATAGCCATTCAATCAGGTGGCAACCTTCCAACCTTCCGGAGACTTGGGACATCTCGAGACTGTGCTTTCACTTCTGAAAGACAACCAAGTGAATCCTGTACATGTGCTGAAAGCTCAAGATTTTATTGGAATTGACAAAATCAGACATTGAGGAACTTAAGTTGAGGTGTAAAGCTTTCTATTCTTTCTACAAGTCCAGTCATCGACCCATGAATCCTAGTTTGCAGACTCCGGTCAACAAGCATCACGCATCTACTGTTTGTGGATCATGTCTGAGGAAACCATGGAATCAATTTTGCTATGATCTCCCATATCAAAACAGGAGTACCGAAAGAAATTCAAGAGTGTTTCAAGTATAGAATATATGGGTTTTATGCTTTCCTATGTTTTCCAGATTTCCACCTGTTCGTTCTCTACGGCTCGGGTTTGCCAAATATACATATATATATATATACATATTTACATATATATCTATATATACATATATATATACATTTTTATATATATATATATACACACATATATATATATATATCTCTTTATTTAACCTTTGGTTTTCACCATTTTTTCATGTTCGATGCACGACTTTCAGATTTCGTGAATCTTCCAATATATGTAGCTTAGTTTACCTCTGGATAACCCTGCGAATCAATAGATCATTTATAGAACAATCAACAAATCGTGTTTTTTTTGAAAAACAATTTTCATTTCCTTCGCCTTGCAAAAGGCGCTGCTCGGTCTGACATTGGTGGATGGGCCCCCCTATAAGGTCATTTCACAACCTTAGGCCTTTCAAGGCAACAGACCCCGCAAGAAAGCATATAAAGTTGCCAAGCAGTGACCAGTTGACTCAAGACTGGGTCAAATGCATGACCAGTGGCCGCCGCATGTAAGTGGGTTTCACACATAAATTGGTGTGGGAAAATACGATGGTCCAGCATGTCCGGCCATCGTGTTTTCCCACATGGTTCTCGAAACCAAGAATCCCACGAACTAGCCATCAACTGCCTGATTCTTTTTGACGTCACGCTGCATGGGTCTTTTAAATATGTGTAAATTACATATACCTTCAAAATTTCAAACGTTGATAATCTGTTGTTTGATTTCAGAGCATGTTTTCAAGTAAAGAAGCCGCGCGCACCTGTTTCAAGAAGAAGTCAAGTGAACAAGCTTCAAAAGTAAATCTATTTGTGTGCAGGTTGTTTCAAAAGACAGGTTGTCTCCGGTAAAATATGAGTCCTCATTGGCTAGTTGAATAGAGCTTGAGTTCGGATTGCCTGCATCACAGTATATATGGAACGGCCTGGCAGCTCAAATCAGTACGGGGTCTCTTGTCTTGGGGAATACGGCCTCCTCAACAATTTCTCCTCATGTCTCGGAAGCCCATTCCTCAACAGGAGAGGTGGAACCTGAAACTCCTTTGAGAGAATCGGGGGAATCGAAGATCATCCAACGCCCAAAGCCTGAGTGCCCACACTCCCATGCCAGCAGGTGCAGGAGGAAGATCAGGACCGCAAGTCGCCAAAGAAGGGAATCCATCGCAGCGGGGTCTCTGAAGTGTGGGCGCGCAGGGCCGCATCAAAGGCATACTTACAACCCTGCCCCCAAACCTCATCAAAAGAAACACTTACACCATCTTTACCCCAAGCCTCAAGCCACGCACGATCCGCATCTGCACGAGTGTGACATTGCGTCCGAAATTACCAAGGTGCGTTTACAGTCTCATTGAAACTTTGGTGAGTGGGGATATATAGTTCACTTGATCTGCTTCCGTTGCCTGGTGATAGATAGGTACTGGCATCTCTACTAAAGTGTTGGACTTTTCAGCCGAGAAGCGCGAACTTTTTGTTGTTCGCTGAGCAGCCGTGTGCGAGATATCAGACAGAAGACTTGGAACGCGCTGCTGCTGCAATAGGAGGTACAGCAAGAAGGGCTAAAAGCATGTGGTGTGCGACGAGTTGCTTTTTGACCATCGCAAGGAGCTGGGATCTGAGTTTGTTGGCTTTCTAAGATTTCAACAAGCATATGGCCACAATAAATCTTAAAGTACGGAGGTGATTCTTCTCTGGCTAAAGCACTGGAAGGTCATCAGCCACATCGGCAAAAGTACTGGTGCAGGCCATAATGTCTGGTACAGAGGCAAGATGATGCCGTTTGATACACTGGTGGCAATGTTTTGCTCTTCGATCAACTGTCGACAATCTCTCATATTTCTACGTGGTAGCATCGCTTGCGAAAGTTGTGTCAGGATGATCTGTTGGTTGATTTTGTATTTTGGCCCTCAGGGTTTGTGACACTTCGCCGCTTCCACCAAAAAGATGCAGTTGCATTATTCAGATTGCAGGTCTCGAAATGGTTGGAGATGTTACAATGATCATAAATGCATATAAATGCTATGAGGTTCCGGCTTGATTTCAGCGTCTCTGAACTACATTAGCAGTATGATTTGCAGGGTGCATTGTGTAGCAGGTCAGTGCCGGCGAAGTTCTGAGCTCGCAGGCTTAATCATTTTTGATTCTAAAGAGGAATTCTTTACCTGGAGGAAACCTTGTTCATTAGATCCGAGAGTAGGACTATCCTTATTCATTAGCTTTTACCGAGTGGGCCGCTGTTTCATTCAAATTTATAGAAGAAACATTTTTCACTAGTTTGTTTCGAAAGCAGGACTATCTCTATATTCATTAGATTTTACCGAGTGGGCAGCTGTTTCATTAAAATTTACGTAGGGTAGACCTTTTTCACTGGTTTGTTTTGAAAACAGGACTATCCTTATTCATTAGATTTCACCGAATGGGTTGCTGATTCATTAAAATTTACCTAGGGGAAACCTTCTTCCCTAAATTTTTCCGAACCCAGGCCCCCTATCCGTCAGATTTTACCGAGGAACAAAGAGACTGACTGCCTAAAGGAAATCAAAGAGGTTGACTGAGAACAAAAGGAACATGGACAAACATTTAGTGGCATTTGTGGCTAACAGTTTTTAATGGTTACGTTTGGTTCCGTGGCTGAGAAAAACATGCGGGGCTAAAGAATCTTAGAAAAACTACGCGGCTAGGAAAAGCTGCCTTTACCATACCCGTATTTGGGATTTGGTTGTGTCCCGTTGGATTTTTTTGGTCCCTTGCGGTGGCGGTCGCCAGAAACGAGGATCTTGCTGGAAGAATCAGTAGGCTTGCTCAGGGCTGCCTACGTTTTGAACGAGCTGGAAAGCGTACCTTGTCTGGTTTTGGAAGTGGAAACATGACATCCAGTTTGGGATGAGAATCAATGAACACATATCCAATCTATCCTTTGCATGTTTTTTGTTAGTTTTAAACAGTCTTCAGCCGTGGATTTGCGTGGGATCCCCACGTTGGAGCCATTGGAGTTGAGGATATGGACCGAGTGCCTGCTCCCATCACCGTGGAAGACGCGCACGAGGTTTTGCTCTCGTACTTGCTGCTCTTCCGTCATGGCTTACCACATGATTTGGAGGCAGGGTAGAACAGGTTAAACAACATGGAACAAATATTGAGGCCATGAGAAACGGAGGAACAAACAACACAAAGAGGTGCTACAGACGTAGTATAACGCTGACAAAATGTACAAATAAGTTAGGTTTGATCCCGGATGAACCCTGAGGATGCCAAGAAGCATCTTCAAATGAAGCTGCGTGCTCGCAAAACTTCAGAGTGGAAGGGCATGCAGAGTTTCGAAGCACAGGCCTTGAACAGCAGCGGCAAGCTTGCTTGGACAGATCTCAAAGAGCGAGTTATGCTCTTGGCAAAACTGTATCTGCGTGGTGTGTATAACATATTTTTCCTATTAGATTTTTCATTTTATGTAATCTTCTTTTGGGATGAGGTTTCTCGAAATCAGCACATATTCAATGTATTCTTTGGCTGCATAGCACCAGGTATGGACGCTGGCAAAATCGTGAATGTGAGGATATGAAGTCTACCCTGGTGAAGATGGGAGATTCAGGTCGGGTGAAGTTGAATGACTTCCACGGATCACCGAAATACCCCCAGTACCAGTTCACTGAGAAAGAAGAATACCTGCAGCAGGTGCGGATGGGTTGAGGAGGTGGGAGAGTTGAATTTGGAAGTGGGGCTGATATTGGATGAAACTTGCTCGGAAACTGTACAAACTAGTCACACACACACAAAAATACACACACAAAAATATGTACATCATATATACACTACACTTCAACAGCTTTTTGGCATTTGTGGTAGATATCTTGACCCTTTGTATTTGTGTGATTTCGGATTGAACGAGAATAGCATGCAAAGGCACCTTTTCCTGACTCCTAAACGACTTGACAGCAGCAACCATCGTAGGCAGGAATCTTGGAGGAAGAGAATGGTGAGCATCTTGCTGGCAGCTGGCAGTGGGGCATCGTGGTGCCGGTATCCAGGTTCCATTAAGAAATAGAAGAAATCAAGTTGTCATCCAAGTCATTGATTATTTATCATGAAGGGAAACCAATGGTGAAAAGGTGCTTCCCATTAGAACATGTCAAAAATCCGGGGCCTGTACGCAGATGATTCATGCCAGCCGTCTCAGCGGCCCACAACAGGGTGGAGTCTATCCCACGTATGACGAATGATGGAAGAGTTTTCTTAGCACTGCATGGGGTGGCAACACTTCCAAAACGCACTTTTCTTTTATTAAACAACCAAGATCCATGGAGCTTAATCTTTCAGATCCAGCAATCGTTGGGAATTTCCAAGGAAGTACGTGTTGATTGCCAACTATTTGCTGGGCGCGTCCAATTGCATCGCTTCCTCCGAATACTTCGCTGTGTGCTGCTTGAACGAATGCGAAACGCTGCTGAATCACTTCGAGGCGATGTGGGGATGTGAGAGATGGGAAATTTGAGGGGGAATTGGGGGTACTTGGATCTTCATCCCATTAAACTCATCGAAATTCCCACTGGCTGATACTGGCTGCTGTATTTTTGTATGATTCTTGGCCAAAGCAGGGAGAAAGGATGTTGCAGACTTGCCGGAAATGGCTTGTAATGGCTTGTAGATAGGAATTGTTGATCCGATGACCATCACCAGGTCAAGCTGTCACAGCTGTCACCCCCACGACGTCCCCAACGCCCGAGGCGTCGTTCCAAATGCCGGGTGCGGCCCTGGAGCAGGCACCTGTGGGATTGATCACGGTTGGATCAGGATATTTGAGCCCTGTTTGGTGGAGCTTTATACTGATTTCGACTGATTTATCCTGATTTATCATGATTTACGAGGACTTCATCATTAGCCCAACACCATAATTTTATCATAATAAGTCATAATATTCATAATATATATATAATTATATACATATATATACATATATATCTAAGAATCTAAGAATCCAACATCTCCCAACATGGTGTTTTTTTGGCCACCAGGTGCAACACTTGGCATCTGAACTGAACGCCTCAGCGGTGTCAGAGCTGAGCAGTGCGGCTGATGCCAGTGGTGTGGTGGTTTGGCACAGCCCCGCATTCAGGCAGATCATGTTGCAGATCATGTTTCTGGAGATTTCAATCCCAGTTCGAGTTCGAGGAATCATCATGATCAAGCATGAACTATTGTTATTAACCATCAACCATGAATCATGGTTCTATTCACCATGAACTGGATGATGATTCACCACAGCTGGCGTAAGATTCACCGTGTGATGCCGCAGGCGCTGGCTGCACCGTGCCTTTCCACTGCAATGCCCTCGGCCGACGGCCCTGGAGGATGAAGCGGTGGAAGCGGAACTCACCGAAGCCAAGGCCGGTCCTGAGAGGGGACGATTGTGAAGTGGGCTTTCAAATACACGTGTGTATAATTGTATACGAATATATATATATATATATACATATAAATGTATAAAACAATTATTTGATATCCCACCAATATGGCTTTCGATGATTCAAATATGGCTACGCGCAATTGTATCTAATCCTTCTACTGAAGGTCTAAGAGTCTAGATATCCAATGTATCCCTGTGTAGCTGTGAGCAGCTTTCTTTCATAAGGGGTTTTGGAAATTGGTGCCAGGAATGGATGGAAATCGATGAAGCCGCCCGACAGAAACTACATCCACTGGTGCTTCATCCATCGGAGTGCACTCGTCTTCCCGAATGGCATGAAACGCCTGAAGAGTCAGCTGCATTGGAGGTGTGACCACAGACCAACAACCGCGTTGCGTTGGAAAAAACAGACAACCAAGGGAGTGAAGGGACGTCAGATGAATCACACTGACACACACACACAAGCATTTCTGTATGTATATTACATATGAGATATGTTATATTTAGATGTGTGTACATATACATACACACACACATATATATATATACACAATTATCATGTACTGTAATATATACACAACACATGCAAGTGTTCACGTATGTGGACACTCTGTGAATGTATCTCTTCGCAAGTGTTGAAGTTTCATGAGTTGGATGCTATGTGCACGGCATGTGTCCCTTTCGGATGACTTTGGCTCAGCAGATGGCTTGCTTTTGGCTTCAACAACCATCTCAAGCTCAAATGTGACAGTCATAGCTGTGGTTGGAATCAGGAATTCACATGTGAGCTCTCGCACCAGCTGTCAATTTTTTTGAGCTGAAGAGCAGATTGAAACCCATATATATATATATATGTATATATATATATGTATATATGTATATATATATATGTATATATATATATGTATATTTATGTATATGTAGATGTATAGAAAGCCAATACCCTGAAGGATTGAAAAAGTGAAAGGGATGGACAGAGGGGCGGAATCCCTCGAAGGCGCTTCCAATTTAGCCACACGACTACCATATTGTCAGTGCTATGCCGTGCTTCAAGTGGCCGATGTTGTCCTGGATGGAATGAGCCAGGTCCCATGTGCCAGCGTCATATGATAGATGCAGGCCTCCAGCTAGAAGAGTCCTGAAATTGGAAACGGTCTCTCAAAATTAAAGTACCCTGAATCATTGCTTTTCCTATTCAATACGACACATTTTGGATGATTTTTGGAGTCCATTGTCTTCCCATATCTGGGCGAGGATGACTGGCTACCGATTCCCAGTTCCAGTCCGTCTTCTCATGGCGAGGCATGAGGGGTGCAACCATTGCGAGTGGAACTTTTGAGTCATGAGAGCAGGACTTCCAGCAAGACGGATGTACGGTACCTCGTGGCCAATTTTAGGACTGTAAGGGGTGATTTTCTTGCAGGGCCTCCGAACATACATTGTAATTTCAGATTTGAGCCATTTAGATCCAATTTTGACCCACTTCTAGACTAATTATACGCCAATTCAGATCCGTTTTGATCCCTCGTGGATTTCGCAAACGCCTGGCGAATTGCCAGGGTATGGCCGAGTGGGCCAAGGATGAGGGAGTTATACTCTCTCCCAAGGTCGCGCTGCGGGTGGGTCCATCGTTTTGATCTATACAACATATATATATTATATATATATAATATAATATAATATAATATATAATATAATTATATAATATAATGTTTAATATATAATATATTATATATATATATATTAATAATGATAATGACAATGATAAGATATATATATATATCTATAAAATAATATATGTATATATATATATAAAACAACAATATAATAATAATAATATATATATATATCTAATATAATAATATATATATATATATATCTAATATATATATATATCTAATATATATATATATCTAATATATATATATATATATCTTATATATTTATATATATAAAATATAATAATATATATATATATACACCTAATATAATAACACATATATAATGTAATAATATATATATATAATATAGTATAATATAATATAGTATAATATGATTTGATATGATATAATATAATATAATAAAATATAATATAATATAATAAAATATAATATAATACAACATAATAAACTAAACTATAATATAACACAATACAATAATAAAATAACATATACTATAGTATAATATAATAAAATACTATATATATGTATAATAATATATGTATATACTAATATATATATATAGATAATACATAATGTGCATATATATTTATATATTATATAATTTAATATAACATAATATAATATAATGCAATAAAATAACATAAAATAAAACATAATATAATAATAATAAAATAATAATAATAATAATATATATATATGTATAATAATATATGTATATACTAATATATATATATACATACATACATATAATGCATAACGTGTATGTATATATATATATATAATATAATGTGTATGTATGTATATATATATATATCATATATTCATATATTCACATATACTCGGTTTGAATCATGTATGTATATGGACTATTTGGGATTGAACTGGCCAGTGCGGTGTTGAACATTTTGACCCCATAGCCATAGCCCTTGAATGGAACTGATGAAAAATTGCGCCACTATGCGACCCAAATTCTGCTGGGATGGTGGTTTCAAGACAGTTAATTTGCTTCGGATGATCAAAATCCATGGGAATCACGATTAAACGCAATTATTACTATGGTATCAATACACCCCATGATATTCTTCTGCATATTATAGTAGGGGATTATGCTACAAACCATCTAAATGGAAAGAAGTTCTTTGGGGATTTTCTAAATCATGATCCCCAGATTTCCTCAACTGATGCTGCTCAGGTGAACTTCTTTGCCCCATCCCTTCCTCCGAGCCAGGTGGGATCAGTGTTCGAGAACTGGGTCCATGATTGGGCTCCTGTTGTTGGTTGTTGGTGGCTGGTGGTTGTTCTTGATAGATAGATACATATATATATACATATATATACAGATATATATATATATATACAGATATATATATATATACAGATATATATATACATATATATATACACAGATATATATATATTTGGTGGATGATTCGAATCATTGTCATTGACTAACATAAAACCAAACTTTTTATATATGATATCCCAAAATATATCAAACATATCAGTGAATAACATATCATAAACGCCAACATTTTTTTCTCCACGTCCGACCAGGGCATCTGCGCCCGAGCCATAGATGTCATCAAGCCTGGGGAATTGCTGCCGGGATGCCCAAACCAGCAATGGTTACCCTCTGGTAAATTTTCACATAGACCCTGAAAATCACCAATTGATAGTGGAAACTAGTCTTCCAACCCTGATGACTGCCAGGGTCTATGTTAATTTACTGGAGGGTACTGCTGGTTGCAACGAACATGATTTCGCATGATTTCCTGGATGGGAGACTGCAGAACTTGTTGGCCCAAGGCTGGACACAGCATGAAAACATTGTACAAAGAACAAATAGAAAAACACAGATGCTGATCATACTCTGTGTAGTTTACAAGCAAACTTTTATCTTGTTTGTAGTTGTTCTTTTCCAGTGCTTCATAGTCACTATTGACTAGGCACCATCTAGGGCCACCTAGATGACCAGATCAGCATGACAACTGTAGACTTGGAACCAGTTTTCTTTTTCTTGCGCAGATTTCCCATGAGTGTGATAGAGCAGCTCACAGAATACCTACAGGTTCGTCCTGGGACGGTTGTGTGATTCGATTGGATCGAAGTGAAGATACTAATTACAGATATGTCAAACATGGTCTCCTGTTTTCTACGAAAGATGTCCCATAGTGCAATGTTTGCAGACGACTTCCTGCGTAAAGTGTTTCTGACTATCGCTGTTTCAGCAGAAAGTTGGAGAGCTGAGTGTCCGTCGACTCAGGATGCCTACATCCAGGACACTCCTTTGGAGTTTGAAACTATCAATGACTTTCTAAGAGATGCCAAGACACTTGGCCGCGAAGACATTGCAATGGGATGCTGCAAATTTCATCCCAAAAAAGAACGGGCGATTCTTCGATTTTCCACAGTGAAATCAGCTTCTCCAACATTTTCCCCAACGGAAAATCTGCCATGCCCCAGGTCAGGCGGTATTGACTGGAGCCATTCGGAGCATTCGGAGAATTCTGATGGGGGCATGCCAGCGTTGCACTACGCCTGCTTAAACGAGGCCACCGAGCCACAACAGCTGCTGGGCGATGGGATGTGGTTGGAAATGCTGGGAACATTTTTTCGGCTCTGCCTGGTAAAAACCCCCATAGTAACAAAAACCCCAAAAAAAGTTTCTGGATTTTCTCATGTAGCGACTCAGGAGGCGATTCCAGTCACACCAAGGCTCTTTTTTGTGATCAGTGCCTTACTCACGCATGGAGCGGACCCGAAGGCACCTTGCTGGGGCAATGTCGTAGGAGGATTGCCATTTTGAGAGAGTGAATTTACACGATTTTCAGGTACCAAACCCCAATATCACATCAAGTTGGCTAGATCTTCCGCAAGATATACCCTCTGGTAAACTAATATAGCTACGGAAAATCACCATTTTCAATGGGAAAATCCACTATAAATGGTCATTTTCAATAGCTATGTTAAATTACCAGAGGGTATCCCATAATGATATCCAAGAATTGTTGCTTATATCCACATTTTTAGGTACCGCAAAATTTATCATGTCTTTCTGGTTGGTTAATGTTGGCCCATGAAAAATATCCACTGTCTTCATTTTGCCAATGCCAATGCTCCAGGGACGACATGGGATGATCAGGCCAAAGACTCGGATAATGAGACCGCCTTGGAAGCCATCCTGAGCCTTAGCCAAGAGGAGCCTGAGGAGGAAGCCTTGAAGGTGCTGCATGGCAGGGGGCAGGGGTGAAGAAATTTTGCCCAATTTTTTTTTTTGGTGGTTCAATTTGGAACCCCCACCAGAATAGATACGAGCCCTGATTCCTGATGGAATAGATATTGAATTTACTGTGAGTTTTTAGATGTTTGAAAAAAGGCAGCCAAGATTGGGACTGCAACTGGAGCTTTTCCCTGCGACCTTCAGAAGATCGGCCGGGAGGCTCACATGGCCTCGATGCGCGCATTGATCAACTGCCCAAATCAGCCGCTGGGGAAAGATGAAATCGCAGGCGGGCTGGCGGCAGTTGCATTCGGCAGTGTTTTTTTTTAAGTGTCTTTGGACGTGAGTTCTGAGATGTTGATGTGGCTTTGTCCGAAAATGATGGAATACCACCAAATGGTCAATTTCAGGGCTAGTCAGCGCACGTTTGCACGAGGCATTTGCGGCTGGTTACGACAGCACTACTCGGAAGATGTTCAGAAACAGGCGATCATGTTGATGGAACTTGAAGATGTGCTGGAAATTCACACATAGCTGGTGATATATGTACATAATATATACAAGATGTATAGTAATATTCATTAATATACATATATCATATCCCGCTTAAAATATCGCACTATATCCCATAAAATATCCCATTTCTCCACGATTTCTGGTGAGGTTTTGGGCGATCTAGAGAAGCGACTCGGAAAGGACAGCAGCCGGGCGTTGGAAGCTGAACTGAAAAAAACACCCATTGAAATCGGTGAATCCTAGTTATCCCATATTTTCCGGATGAAACTTTGGCTTCATGCAAAAATTGGGTCGATTTGGAGCATTTTCGCCGCGGAGGAGAAGGTTACTGCTGCCTGGACCTCTGAGATGTTTCTCAAATATTGCGAGCAATGTGCGTATGATGTGCCCTAGATGCATACGATGGATCTGGATGGGGAAAGGGGTGCTGTTGGGCAGATGCCAAAAACACACGGATGCTGTGAGGCGAAAACATCCCTCAAGAGCAATGTTGTGGGGCAGTATCTTGGCTGCAAGATGTGGGGTTTGGCGGTCTAAAGTGTGGTTCGATGATGTGCTGGTTTACGGTTTTTGCAGATGGCGGGTTGAAGTTGATTGACCGACTACGAGACACAGCATTTTACATATTTTACCATTCATTGATCATCACTGGCTCAGTAGGACCTAGTAGGATTTCCAATGGTTCACCAACCCGCTGACGGCGCTGAGGTACCTGGAGATGGGCGCAGATGTTTGTGGCCGGAAGAACGGTGCTTCTGCTTTGCTCTTGCGACTTGGCGCAACGCCGAAGTTGGCAGAGCGACAGGGTGGAGGATTAAGAGGCTGGAAAAAACCACATATTTGTCGGAACTTTTTTTTGGTCTCTCATGGTCTCTCAATTTTGACCCACACCCATTTGAACATGAAAGTTCGAGGTCCTTTGCCAAGCACGGGGAGTCGATGTTCGTTCCACTGTCAGTTGAGTGCACTGAGCGCCCAAGGATGATACTGAACCCGTACACTGGATTCGAAGAGATGTCCAGAATCTGCCCAATGGTCATTCAGAAGGACCCCCAAGTCGTCTGCCAGCGCGATGGTTTCAAAATGACTCCTTTTGCTGCTTGGCGATGTTTTTTTGCGATTTTTTGAGGTTGAGTGCGGATTTCCTGCTGTTTGATTCGTCCAAGGAATTTCAAACAATACGTATGGGATAGTAGGGGCAGATATCTGCAGATATCTGCAGATGCGTTTAAGAAAAGCGGCCCCAAAAGTAGCATGCCTGGAGGTGCTGATCTTTTTTGACATACTAAGAACTGGGCATCCGACTATGAGAATGTCTCACTACAACATTCAGTCAAACCTCCAAATCCTGCTGTGCTCTTAGCCCTGGCCCCGGCAATCTTCACGATCTGCCCGGACTTAGTGCCTTGCAGCGACGATGGGAAGGGGTCAGCGAAGAAAACATCCGGGGGACCCCAGAAAACCCCAACCGCATCAACTGAGGCCGAGGGCTCTGGAGCTTGTTGTTTGAAGGTCAAGAAAACTGGCGCTTGCACAGGACAGGTCGCACAGCGGCACCTCTTTTGAATCTTTTGATACGTGCCATACTAAATCAGCCAGAAGGTCAATAGTTCACACTTGCAGTACAGTTCTTTACCATGTTTGAAAACTCAGGGATTGGCTCGCTTTGCGGAGAAGTCAAGCAGTTCAAGTAGACAACTGATAGCTAACTGTAGATATGTAAGGTATTCACAAGACTGAAAAGTGGCAATAATAAGACTACTACGTAATAATAACACTAACAATAATAGTAACAGCAACAATAATGAACATTACTATGTACATATTTTGAATCATTGAATCCCCAACTGATTGGAGAAGCTCCGGTCCTGCGTTGTCAGGACAGATCGTCAATGCGCCCTTGCGATTTTTGGAAGGCGACCGAGTTCTTTGTCGGGTCGAAGCGCCTGGAAATCTCACTACTTGGGAAGAAGGCGTAGTAGTAGGTCTCTGGTACAAAGAAGCTTGGTGTATTGGCTGGTGAGCAAAAAAGCCGGGGTGTTGACAGCATTTGACAGCGAGATACCTATGATACTATTGAATACAATTGATACCTGGAATTGATGGCCATTCAAATCTAGACCAAATTGATAGATTTGTGGGTCCCCGACTACTGAGCCATTTGGAATCGAAACAGAGCATCGATTGCGACTAAGGAAAAGGATTGGCCACCGCAGTTCCAAGGAGCCCCATATGAGGTGTGGATGGCTGGGAATTTCAACCTGGTCTTGTCATGTCATATAAGTAGCCATTTCGCGCGCTTACCACACGTGTTGATGGTATTCTTTGTGAATCTACTCAACTATTTTTAATTGGTTTCCGTTGGGTTATTGACCACAAAACCATCTTGGGAAACAGGCTATCTCAGGTACTCAACCCGGTCTCCCATCAACCCATCTTCGACAGGTGAAGCTAGATATCGGTTCCCACGTGTATGCATTGGTCGACCACTCTGGCTTGATTCAAAGGGAGGCCCGAGAGAAGCCGGCCACCCTTGGAGCCAGTGGCTATGGAAACGGGAATGGAAATGCAAATGCCAAGCCGCAGGGCCGCTTTCAAAAGCGACAACGGGAGGACGGCAGTCACTTGGCACTTCGACATGTGAAAAAACACATGTTTTCCAACAAAAACATGATAAGTATTGATAAGTCTGGTATTGAAGCCTGGCCAAGTATGGGGTGCCGTAAAGCCGGGGCAAACCAATGGAACCAATGGAGCCAATGGTGCTAGGCTGGGAACTCCTGGACACCAAGTCGGGCAAAGCCAGGGCCTGCTCCCCACCAGACTCCGATGAGGACGCGCCACTGTTGCCGTATTGTTACCATCTGTTGCCATTGCCCCCGTTAATCAAAAGGGGTTATATCATGTAATACGGGTCAATATTTTTTATTCTTATCATTCTTATTGTTATTGTTATTATCATTATTCACATGCCAAATTTTGTCAGCGTTCCACTTCATGATGCTGGGATGACCAGGCGGCCCATAAGCCACATCTCTTGGCCGCCAGGATTAGGCCAAGATGGTCCTCAAGGTTTTGTGCTTCTGAATGCGGAAACTGGGTCGAGTTTCGAAGCATGGAAAACACAGTGCCTGGACATCCAAGGTACCCTCTGGTACTTTAATGTAGCTATGGAACATCACCATTTCAATCTTCGGCAGACATCGTTATATCATGGAACTGACTAGGCAATTTTCCATAGCTATGTGAAATTACTAGAGGGCCAAGTTACGGTGGGTTGGTTTTAAGTTGAAACATCAGTTCGACGATTTTTCCTGTTTCACAAAACCATTTTTCATTTTAGACAAGGGCACCGTTTACGATATTTTTCTTTCAGGGTTTCTCCAAGTTCGACCCCTGCTTCCGACATTGGGAAGACCCTTCACATGAGCGACCCTCGGGTTCTAAGCCTTGGCCTGGCAAAGTCAGCGACAATTTTGTCAGTTGACTCCAGCTATGGCACTCACCCGCAATGCTGAGCCAAAGTGCGCAAAGAATTGGTTTGCAACCTTTAAGGGTCAAATCACCATCAGCCTATCATCCCCGTTTTATCAATGGTTAAGTCTGTGTGTGTGTTGATGTCTTGGCCATGTAGTTGCATAATCGCGATGAGGCAATCTTGTGCATTTTTGCGCTTCGGTTCGACGGGCTGGATTCGGCCCACTTTTCAATTTTTTAGTGCTGCGGTCTCCCCACGTCAGTTCAAAAGCTCTCGTGGAGTCGTCAATAGCGAGATTTTGTGGCTCTTCAACCCTGCAGAATGATAGAGATCAAATACCAAAGAGGAACAAATGCAGTTGTTGAAACTGAAGAGCCACAAGGTTGTGTCTTGTCAGAAATCGATGTGAGATAAAGAATGAATGATATGGTCAATGATGTGTCCAAACTCAGCATACGACATATCTCAGCCCAACTCGCTTGCTCTTCTTTTTTGCTGTTTTATTTCCCTGTCAGACACTTCCTATAGAGAGGGGTGCATCGATAGATTTTTGAAATTGCGGGCCTGGGGGCAATGACAAGGCGAAAATCAGCTGCATAGTTGTGACAGCCGTCGAAGCCACAGGCTTCGCTGCGTTCGATTTTTTTGCACGAAGCCACAGGGGTTTTTGATGGTTTTTGGTGGTTTTTGTGCGTCATCAAAAATGTCATGCCCATGCATCTGACATGAATTTCCCGAAGACCCATGCAGCCACTACACTCTAATTGCTTTGCTATTTCTCACATAGCCCGCAGCCAAGTTGTCATTACCCCTCTTGTGCTCGGGACAAACCCTGGCAGAGCAGAAAAAAGATCCATGTGAACTTGAGCGAGCCCTTCACCCAACGGGGGAGCTCACAATGCGACGTTATGCACCTCCCAACCCTTCAATACACCAGAAATAAACAGATATATATATATATATAGATATAAATGAATATAGATAAATATACGCATATTATATACGTGATGGGATTAGCATCTCTTTCACCATCAGCAGGGCCAGCCTGGATGATTGTCACCAAGGATAGCCGAGAGACTCGGACTACCGGCATGGCCAATTAATGTGCGTCATAACTTGGTTTGATGTTCCACTTGACATGATGTCAATACATCAATATATCATAATATATCAATACATCAATATATATATATACACACATACACATACACATACACATACACATATACATACACATATACATACACACACACACACATACATACATACATACATACATACATACATACAT